CATGCACATGCGCCTGTCAAACTGAAAATTTAATGAATATTTTGCGGTCATACATGACGTATGAGTGACGCGCGATTAGGCTTTTTGTTTTAAGCAATATTTATATATTTTTTGGCAGCACATGCTGATGCTTCAGCGTGATTGCCTATCTCAATGGCTCATAATACCTAAAATTTTTTTTCCAAATTTGCTTCGACTTAATTAAATTATATTTATATTGTTCATATTTTCAGCCTATTAATCTATTTATTTTTATTAAATGCCGGAATTTTTTTATGCTTAATGACACTCATTTACTATAGGCATTTAATTTAGTTAACTTTATATATTCTATAATAAATTTCAAATATTAACGTGCTTAGAGTTATGCACACCAATTTTTTCTGTTGAACAAAATTTATGAAGAACATAAAAATTTGAATTTTTAAATATCTTTACTAATATCCGGTATGAAGTATTTAAACTGCAACACTTTTTAATTTAACAAATACAAACAAATAAAGATATCGTCWCYTAAAATACAAAATAATATAACATCACTTTGCATGAGGTTATAATCGAAGGATAAACGATATAATTGAAACCACTCATATTGAAAGAGAATTTGTGTTTTGGTTATAAAATGGTTATATATTCTTTATATGTTGGTTATATATTGGTTACGTATTGGTTATTTGTTGGTTGTCAAACACTTATATTTAACCAAAGTTTCAGTTTGGGTTATGAAATGGTTATATGTGACCTGGTCTACGAAAAGGGAGCTAACGTGCGAAAACTAGTTTTCTGGGAAACAGCTGTTAAACAAAAAAGCATCTCATCTTCCATCCGAATCAACTAAAAAGTGAAAATTGATTTTATTAATTTAATTAATTATTTTTAATTGACCTTTAATAGCTAATTTTAATAGAATTTTTTTTTTTTTTTTTTTTTTTTTTTTTTTTTTAATTTTTTTATTATTCTATGTTTCGATTTGGTTAGCGGTTTATATGTTTTTTTGGAAATGGTTAATACACTACTTCATGCATGGGCTTGATTCCTGCAAGTATTTATTTAAATATGTGGTCAAAATCATTATTAACAAAAATATTAAGATGTCATCTAGAAACACACCAATTTTCTAATTAAAATAAGTGGTAATTTTTGATATTACATTCTTTGTGGGTGGCAACTCTGCATCGAAATAAGCGTCTATAATAAATTTAGTAATAATAGGTTTTATTTTTTTTTCAATTATTTAATTGACATGCAATTTCTTTTACTAAGTGGCAACTCTGCACACAAATATGAATAAATAACTTTAAAAATTAACTTTAATAAAATTGAGTTTTATTTTTCCAAGAACTCGTTATAATTTTCATATTGAATTATATATGCATATGTAGGTGGCAACTCCACTCCCAGATATGAGTAAATATCTATTATATATAWTTTAATTTCATTTATAATGAGTTTTGTTTTTTTTAGGAACTCATTACTATTTTAATATTGAAGTATTTTCAGGTGGCAACCCTGCACCTAAATTTTAGTATATGTTAATAATATTAAATCTTTATTTTTTTGTTTTCAATTACATAATAATAATTCAACAATAATTTTTTGTAGGTGGCAACTCTACGATCACATACTACATACTCGAATTATCCCACTACCGACAACATACACTTCTCCCTTCATTCCTTATTTACCTGTCTTATCCTCTCATATCTTTTTTTCTCATTTCATAATTTCCATACTTGCTAATTGATCATCCTTAAACTAAATTCTCTCTTTCCTTAAATAATAATAACAGCACCAATAAACATTTGCACTCATTAGTTTTAAGCTCACATGCATTATGTTAACTTCCTAGCTGTAGGGATTGGAAATTGCAATAATTAATAAAGTTAYATTCGAAAAGAACGGACTTGTTATTATATAGTGATTATTTTAATAATATGTTTTACTTTTCCCAATTATTTAATACTTATTCAAGATTTTATTCTTTATAGGTGGCAACTCTATAACCAAGTATGAAGAATGATAAATTTGGTGGAAACTCTACTATTGTTGTATTAATCATATGTTTCATCCTTTTCAATTATTTAATACTTATGCAATATTTTTTTTTTAGGTGGCAACTCTAAAACCAAATATGTTCTCACAACGATTATATTAACAAGTTTCAATTTTTTTTCAATTAATCAATACTTTTCCAAAATCAATTTTTAAATGTGGCAACTCTGTCACCAAAAATTTTTATATTATAACTTTATCAATACTGTACTTTCAGTTTTTCAATTATTCAATACTTATTCAATGATTAATTTTCTACAGCTGGCAACTCTGCAGTCAAATAATGTTATATTTATTATATGTTGCAACTTTTTCAAACTATTTAATAATAACCTTTATAAGGGGGAACTTAATAAAATTATTTCTTATTATAAAAAAACAATTACGGGGTCGTAGTAATCGAACTCCCACGATGCACCGCCCACATTTCGGTGAAATCCCATATCTCAGGACCCGACAAATTAATTTCGACAAATACGCAGCAYTGCCTTTATATTCTTATRTCACGGTACGAAAATGAACGAAATCGGTCAATAACCACGCCTACTTCCCATATAGCACGATTTTAAACTCCACTTGATCCGTTCAGTTCCCAGTACACAAATCAAGRAGTAACTAATATAACGAGATAAAATTTTGCAMGAACAATGTCTTTAGTGTGTGCCATCTTTTGACCAAAAATTTTCCACATCCCGCAAMTTTCGACACCGGTACCTATAGTTGACTTTTCATCGAAAATATCTGTCAATGTGGAATGGAACGGAAGGYAATGATCATTTATATGCATATAACCCAATATCTAACTCGATTAGTTTAAAGTGATACATTCAACCGTTAGGTRAACAAGACTGTTGTACTCTATACYCTACAGATGTCATTGTGTATTTTTTAATTAGTTATATAGGAAAATTTATTAAAGTAGTTGAAATATAATRAAATGGGATTGAAAAGTTTGTGCGATCATTACTGCTTGGCAAGCGTTGACCAGGATTGTCTCCCTCTTTCTCTTAGTAGCAACATTTTGAATAGCTCTTTGTCACTAAGTAACTGCAATTAAATGTATAATATTTGAATTAATAGGTTGTCAACAAAGTCTTGCGGTATTTTTATTGAATTTTCAATTGTTCTTAAAATTTTTTTTGATGACTCATGCCCAGCTCTTGACCAATGCTACGGCTGCTACTATGCCGGTCTCTTTCGACCAATTCAGCGATTTTATCGCAATTTTCTACGACAGGCCTCCCGGAGCGTGGCTCACCTACGACCACCTCTACACCAGAACGAAAACGTTGAAACCATTGTTGTGCGGTGGAAATGGAAACTGTATCGGGTCCATAAACTGCACAAATTTTATTGGCRGCTTGAGATGCATTTTTGCCCTTATCGTAGTAGTACTGTAAAATATGCCGTATTTTCTCTTTATTTTTCTCCATGTTCGCGACGCTATAACTCACAAACGACTTAAAAGAAACGACAATCAATCAAACACGTGTTAGCGCGTGAAATGAGCTTTCCAAAAAAGTATAGCATGACCTGATGCGACGAATAAAACTAGAACTATGTGCTCTCAGCGCCAACTAGCGAAAATACCGCAAGACTATACATATTTGTGATGTATGTATCTTACTGCCCTGCCACCATAAACAGACTGTGATAAATTTAAGCCACTTCGTCAAGCAATTGATTCATCTCAATATCGTCGTTAATTTTTAGAATATCGGAATTCCTTTCTCCACCTACTTTATGTRGCATGGCGTAGCGTAATTTGTCCCAAAATCTGACGTCYTGATAGTCCAGATATGTATTCAWATGCAAAAATGCCTTAAGTTCTCGATCCAATATCTCACTTTTCGAGATTTCAGCATATTTAATCATTATTATGCGTGCACGACTTTCGTTCAACGAGCAYTGATGCGCTGTGCGAAACTCCATGCGCGCASAATCTGACTCGATGAAGTGCTGCGAGAGCACAATGATCGTCCGACGCGACTGTTCCACCAATTCGATGATTTGTTCAGGTGTATATGCACCAGCCAGACAATTGTGTTCGTGCGTGCATACACGAAATGGTGGTTCGCACTGTTCGAGTTGCGGCAGCAATGTATGGTTAACGAAGTCTGCATCCTGATGTACATGTAAAATAAACGCATCGAATGTTTTGTGCTTATTCRCGAATGCAAARTCTCAATATATTGTGGCTATATAACCAGACTTTCACTTCTAATTTATATTTATAGAAGAGTGCGATAATGCAAAGAAAAATAATAATGGTTAACGCTACACTAATCAGAGTTGTATTCAAGTGCTGATAATATTCAACATTAACAGGAGTTAGACACAATTCTCTCACATTTACTGTTAGGAGTGTATCGTTCGGCTGATTAACACAGAGTAATTGGTCGGCATCGAGTATGCGTGTCCGATGTGTGCGTATTGTGTACAACAGTTGCAGCGTGGAACAGTCGCAAAACCAAGGATTTTCACTTAGATAAAGAAATTTATATGTGTATGGTGTACAACAGTTGCAGCGTGGAACAGTCGCAAAACCAAGGATTTTCACTTAGATAAAGAAATTGTAGTTTTCTGCTGTCATTGAGGTATGCACGTAAAAATTCATCATTTAAAGAATTTAAGCGATTATTTCGTAGATCCAAAACCGTCAAATTGGTTGGCAGTTGACTGATATTTATGCTCGTGATTTTATTGTACGAAGCGTTGAGTTGCGAAACGTTACCATAGCCGAAGGTGGTGTTAAGCGGCAATACAATGAAATTGTTATTGCTAATATCGAGTACCGAACTCTTGAGTCCAACTTGCTCGGGGCGTGGGAACTGTTCGATATGTTGCGCACGCTTGCAATTGATGTGCATCAGTTCAAATTGTGTATAACAATTGCATTCGCTGGGGCACATTACTGGTTCCCACGCACACAGCTCATTGCGTTCCAGCTGCGCAACATCTTTTACTAGTTTAGTTGACGTCTGTACTCACTGTAAACCATTGAACAGCGAACGATAGTTTACATTGTAAATCCAAGCCAATTTACAATCGCACACGATCGGATTACCAGTTATTTTGATTTTGCGCACACAATCGTCAGTCATACTGAAGAAATTTTGTAAATCAAAAATATTTTCAATCAGATTGTGCTCCAGGTTTATTTCAAGAGGGCATGTAATGCTCGCTGCTACAAACCAATCCAAGGAGAATTCGCGCAACAGATTGCCACTAAAATTGATTACTCTTGTGCTAAACTTGCCACATTCGTTATTTTCTGGTTGCCACTTGTTAATATATTTAAGACCGTCGGCTAAAGTAAAATTCATGCCCTTATAGTTGTATCGTAAAGTTGTCAGTAACTTTCGTGTTCCATTGACGGAATTCTCGGTGTTCCAAATAGTTTGCAGTTTGTTCTGGCTTACGTCTAGCCTATGTAGATAAGGCAGCGGTTTCAGACTTTCCATAAGATTTGTGGTGTCGTGCAGTAGATTGTCATCAAGTCTCAACTGCCAAAGCCAAGGAGTGTGATCGAAAAGGTGTGGCGGTAAATATGTCAACGAATTGTGACTCAGATCCAGTACGAGAAGTTGAGACTGATATTCAAACAGACTTACGGGCAATTCTCGGATTTCATTACGGCTCAAATTCARACAATTCAATTGCGATAGCGTTGCAAAGATAWTTGCATCCAACATTCTCATATTATTTCCGGCTAAGTCARGCWGTCTRAGCGCAGTRAAGTTTTTWAAGAATRTTTGCGTCAAGTKTTGCAGCGATAAGTACTGGTTTCTTAGACYYTGTACGCTAAGCGTAAGTGTTTCCAGTAGATTCTGCTCAGAAAGTATGTCAGTTGGTATGYTTATAATATCTGCTTCCCGAATTTCATTACGATTTGATTTCATAATCAATTGTAGGTGAAGCACATTCATGATTGGATCATAATATTCCGTTGATTCTGGAGTAAGATCAGTATTATAGACTAGTGTTAMTTTATTCAGCTCATATGTACATTGTTATTAGAATTTCCCACACTTTGTCATACATAGAGATTTTGTGTGCAAAATTTCTGAAATCTATCACATTTAAATACGTTATTTACTATTSTTTTTAAGTAAAATTGAGTGAAATTTGCGCTCGAGTAGAAAATTTATATTAGTTTCAAAGTCTATGGAACACAATRTAACCAGATTCCCCAAGTTTGAAGAAAAATGGATGTAAATATCATTGAGTCCATCGACAATTTGACAAGCAAAATGGCATTTTCCGTAGCAACTCCAAGTAGTCTTCTCATCGCTATAGCAATCGGGAGGCCAAGCGAAAACTGGTTCAACAGTATTTTTGGTTAACTTTATTTCGGTAGTGTGCGCCAACAGAAAGTTGTTGTTTATGTTCAGTAGACTTAGTATGTAGGCAAGTATTACACACAAATTTCGTTCCTTTAGTTTGTTCATATTTAATAATTTGCTGTTATTCTTTTTATATTTCCTCCACAATACGTCGGGCTTGCAGACCAACTGACTTACACTTACTGAAATACTAAAATATAATATCTAATATGTACGCTTTAAGAAACTCAAATCTTGCTTTAATTCCTTATCGAGCAAAATATTTGTCAAAACCGCAAATTCTCTTAACACTCGCCCTTATGCCAGTATTTGTTTTTTGTTCTAGTAATATAAGGAAACCAATTTTTTTTTCCAAAAGAATTTACTCTTTCGTAAGCTGATTAAATCTATAGCCACGCCACTAAAAGTGGTAAGCGAAGTCATAGCGACGTAGTGTATCACAATAAATTTGGATATTTGTGGTTAAAAACTTTCTAAAAAGTTACCATGATCGCATTAAAGCTACATTAACCATCGGTCAAATCGCTAAAAATTAAGATAGAACTTCGATTAGAATGATTTTATTATAATATGTACAAATATTTGAGATATGAAACAAAAATGTTATAAGTTAATTAGCAAACGTTGTTTTGCAATAAATGTTATTTTTAGAAAATATTTAGTTTTAAAACCATAATTTCAGAAGATCTGCCATGTGCGTCCGTCCATCCGTGCTAGCTGTAACTTGGTATGCAGGTCAYTTGGTACAAAAAAATATGTCCCCAATATCTATAGACGACTTTTGACCAAAAATATCGATCAATGT